TAAATGTTTAGGGTTCCCAAATTTGTTTTATATTTAATATTTGTTATAAGAAAAATAAATTAGAACAAATTATAAATGTTTATACTTTTTCTGTTCTTGTGTTAAAATGTTAATTTCAAAATTAATGTTGATATTCATCTCCTTTCTTTAAAACAAAAAACTTTTAAATAGAATTTTGTTGTGTTTTTCATAAATGATAAAATTTAAATGAAAAATGGAGATAAATTCTATTCAAAATCTTTTTGTTTTATGGAACGGAGAGGAATAAAGGTTTCTTGATATTTGTTATTTTTAACTAACTAACTAACTAACTAACTAACTAACTGACTAACTAACTAACTAACTAACTAACTAACTAACTAACTAACTAACAAACAAACAAACACAAACAAACAAACAAACAAACAAACAACAAACAACTAAAACTAACTAACAACTAACTAACTAACTAACTAACTAACTAACTAACTAACTAACTAACTAAAACTGACTAACTAACTAACTAACTAACTAACTAACTAACTAACTAACTAACTGACTAACTAACTAACTATTTTATAATTTGTTTTAAATAAATTTAAAACTAATATTTTCATTTCTAACTAAATATGTTACACTGCTACCACTACAGAACTTTTTCATCTAAAAGTTGCGGTGTTAGAATTTTTCAAAATTAGAGATGAACTATCGAAAAACTAAAGATCTATTTAATGTTTATTTATTAAATATGTGAATAACCTTTTATTACAACAAAAGAAATAAAAGACATTTTTGAAAATTTAATATAAAATAAATTTTTTTTAAACAATTAGAATTAATAACAAATCAAATATTTTCAAAAGATTTCTCTTATCACTCTCTATTCGTTAAAAGAAAAATGTTTGAAAGGAATTTTTTTATTCGAAAATTCGAAAATTTATGAAAAAATCCCTTTCAAAGTGTTAAATTTTAAAGAACAGAGATTGATATTAGTTAAAAATAACAAATAATTTGGAAATTAACAATTAAACGAACAAAAAACAATTAAATTACAAATGTTGTCCAATTATTTAAAAGGAATGTGTTTAAAAAAAGATCCTGGTGCCGATGCCAATAATATTCGTATGATTATCCTTATCATATAAATCCAAACATAAATAATGTATATCCCATTACTAACGACACCATATATAATTTTGAGCGTATTGCTAAAAGGTCCTGATCATCTTCAATTATAAGAAACTTCCATATAGTTTTGTTGTCCATTTTATTTTTTCTTTGTTCTAATATATTCAGCAGCAACCAATCTATAAAGATTTCAATAAAACAAAGCGTTTTTTGAAAATAAACGACCAAGCATTAATGCCATAAAAATAACTATATTAATATTTGATGTGATGTTTGGTGTCTTCAGTGGCTTTTGACTTACATTGCCCTTTTCGTAATTGAAATTATTCGCCACTTCCTTAGCATCTTCATTCATTTTGAGATCTTGCATTTTGTTGTTTATTTTGCTAAAATTAATAAAGAATTTCAAATTAATTTTATAATTTTCTATAATATTTATTGCAATCTTACCTTTTCTTCTTGAAATCTTCTTTTAAATTGATTTTATTTGCAAATATTTTATTTTGATTTCAAATTATTTTTTTCGTTTTTATTTTGTGTTTTTTTTGCTTAAATTATATAAAATTTCAAATAAATTTTATGTATTTCTAATATATTTTATTGCTTTCTCACCTTTACTGCTTTCAATATTCTTTTAAATCGTTTTTATTTGAAATATTTTATTTTTTCTTTTGAAATTCGTTTTTTTCTTTGTGAAAAAACGTTTTTATTTTTTCTCAATTTATTTATTTATGAAAATTTTTGACACTTTACTATTGACATATAAAGCCGGGGTTACCTTTGTGGAATTTATTTGTCTGAAATGTTTAGGGTTCCCAAATTTGTTTTATATTTCATGTTATAAGAAAAATAAATTAGAACAAATGATAATAATGATAATCGGAGAATTTTAGCTTTCAGATTCGATGGTTAATTTAGCAACTATATGCTGATGAAATGCATAGCGTAATGTGTTTAATTCTTAATACTTTTGCCTTCTTAATGCTGATTTCAATTCAGGGGGTTTTCAAACTTTCGATTTGTTGTTTTATAATTAGAACAGTGATGATCTGAATCCTTAGAGATGATCTGTATATTTAATTATTAATATGAAGGGTATTCAAGCCGAATACCAGCACCACTTTTACTAAAATTGAAAAGTTGCAAGTATTAACCTATCTCAAATAAATGATAAAACATTTTACAGTTTTTTCGAATAACTTAATTGCAAACTTTATTATATCTTTTTTTATATATACGTACATTTTCATCATTATAGTTTTGTTCCTTTATCAGAAATTAAACAAATTATTGTCCGTCTTTAATTAATCATTATACAAAATACAGAATTTAGAATTCACATCGATACATTTGTGAAATTGTTAAATATAACAAAAAACAAAAAGACAATGTCATTTCATCGTTCAAATTGGCCGATTGACTACGGGTGATATGAACAAGCGATATGAATAAAATTAAATACTAATAATCTGCAAGAAAATCTCATGTTTGGCTAAATGTTTGGGTTTCGTTTTTTTTTTTAATCTAATATGAAATATGTTTTATATTAGTTATTAATTAGTATATATATTTTTAAAATACATACATATAATAAAAATTAACAAGATATTTTTTGTAAATGAAAATAAAGACAAATAAAGAACTAATAAACTAATTTCACACTTAGTAGAGCTTAGTGTAAAATTTTTACAAAATCACGTTAACAGGAAAAAAGAATTATTAACATTTTAATATAAAAAAATTAATCTATTTATATTTTTGCATAAATTCAGCATGGAATTTTTGGGAATTTGTTCATCATATCTTTCAAGACGGCGGTTTGAGGTAAAATGGTTGCTGCGGAAATGATAGGTACCGGGTTTTGGCCAAAACCGCTGCCAGCAACGATGCAAATACCTAAGTAACAATTAAATAATGGAAATAAAGATTTTCGTTACAGAAAAGAATTATGGATACTTACCAGTAGATTCTAGCAATTCAGAGGCGTAGAAAGTATCAGGGGCCATATTCTTGGATTTGGCGATTTCGATAGCCTTGGGAGGAATTTCGATTTGTGGGAACACATACATGGCACCTTGTACTTTATTAACTTTGTAGCCCTCAAAACTGCTCAAAGTGTTGTAGACCAATTCAGCACGTTCCTAAGAGCGCCCAAAATACCATCTCTTCCTTGATGTATTGATTGTAGGAAGGCTCACCAGGCTTGGGGGGATTGACCTGCAATTTAACAAATAAATTGAGCTTGCTGTTTCTTTCTTTCCACAAAAATAATTTTTTAAAAACTTACCAAAGCACTGACAGCTACTTGACCGGCAGTGGTACCACACAAAGAAGCGGTGATAGATTTGGTCAACATGGCCATAACCTTAGGACACATATTGATGATTTCCATATAACCACCACGAATACCACATTCACCCAAATAACCCTTGAGGTAGACATAAAGCTGGCCAATTCCATATCTTTATAGGGACCACCCATTTCGGTCATGACCTTTTTGAAGGAGAAGAATTTTGAATCCTTATCGTAAACATTGTCCTGATACACTTCATCGGCCAATACAACTAAGTTGTTGTCATAGGCAAATTTAATAATTTCTTCGATGTTTTGTCTGGTCAAAACTTGACCGGTGGGATTGCCGGGATTGATAACAACAATGGCACGTGGATTACAAGTCTTTTTAGCCTCATCATAGGAACGTTGCAATTCCTTGCGACTTAGACTCCAGCCAGTTTCTTCTTCCAAATAATAGTCAACCTTTTGCATGCCATACTCAGCAATGGTGGCCGAGTACAAAGGATATTGGGGAATGGGTACCATAACACCGGGTGGCTTGCCATCAACATGACATCTAAAGTACAACAACAATAAAAAAAATTAAAAATAAACTATTTTAAAACAACAAACTCACCTAATCAAAGCCAATACACTTTTGATGCCGGGAGAAGCACCGGCAGTCAAAAGATATTATGCCAATCACAAGGTACACCATCACGTTGGGTAATGAAATCAGCTACTTGTTTGCGTACAACTTCCAAACCAGCAGAGTCAGTATAAGAACCGACGGAACCTCCTTGACAACAGCCCAAAACAGCCTTAGCACGAGCCTTAACATCATCAGGATATTGGGGAGAATTGAGGAGTTCTGGTTCGAAGGTTAAATTCAAAGCTTAAAAAATTAAAGAAAATTGTTTATAAATTTTTAAAACAAAAAAATTGACTTAATTCCATTAAAATGCAGGCAAATAAAATCTATAAAATTGGCATGCCGTGGGCTATTATATATAGTATGTCTATATGAACTTTTTTACGGAATAATAAACACGCTACAAAACACACTCGTTTGTTAGTAGACGTTAAAATGTATGTATGTTGATATTTTAAAACAATTTACAATTACATTCAATTAGTTTGGAAAATTAAGTTGTTGTTTATTTGGTACATTCGTTCATACATAGACTTGTTTTGTTTTTATTATTCCAATATTTACTTAAATTATTTATACAGCTTTCTGCCATATACGTAGTTACATTAGGTGGGCCCAAAACTAAAGTTTCAGGCGTATTTCCATATCCACTTAAGAACATTTTTATAAGATTCTTTTCTAGATTTCGATCTTAACAGTATATAAATATTTACTGGGATAATTTATATTTAAAAATTTCTATAAATTTCAAAATCTTTGCAGTTGCTAAAGTGGGCAATATATTTAGCATGTTGCATGTTACACAAAGTATCTTTAAAATTTCCTAAACAAAAAATCAAGCGGAATGCATGTCAATGGCCTTAAAGTAGACAATAGTAGACTGTTATGCTTAAACCTAAGAGCTTTTTGAACTCAATTGCTGTCAGTTTTGCGCTGTAATTTGTGTGATTCGTGTCCTTAAAAATCATATTCTGATTTATTTTAATAGTTAATTTTTTCAATACAATTTAAATGGTTTGGTTTTATTAAAAAAATTAAGTGATTTTATTTAATATATAAAAAGAAAATACTGAACACTTTTTATCCGATATAAATTTTAATTGAATTCTCTGCGACTTCATTAATACTTTGGCGCTTGGATTTTTTTAATCTACATCTAAAATCTTAAAAAACAAAGTTCTATAGTTGTTTAAAACAACTTTAAGTAGAAATAATATTAAAAATATGAAGTAAGAAAAGAAAACCTAACCTAATAAAACCTTGAGACAGCAAGAGCAAATTTCTCATGAAAAGCTTAAAGCGAGAGCGTATGTATTTTCTATAGAAAATTTTGAGGTAAGCTTTTCGTATAGGAAAGCTTGAGCTATCTAGAACACTTCTTTATAGGAAAGCTTAGCGGGAGCACTTTTCCTATAGAAAATCTTCTTATAGAAAAGCTTGAGCTAGTAAGAGCACTTTTCCTATGGAAGAGCTTGAACTAGCGAGAGCAATTTTCACTTTTTGAGCTAGCGAAAGCACTCTTCCTATAAAAGAGATTGAGCTAGCGGGAGCACTCTTCCTATAGAAAACCTTGAGCTAGTGGAAACACTTCGTATAGAAAAGCTTGAACTAGCGAGAGGACATTTTCTACAGGAAAACTTTAGCTAGCGGAAACACTTTTTCTTTAGAAAAACTTGAGCTAGCGGAAACACTTTTTATACATAAAAGCCATAGCTATTGAGAGCGTTATCGTATAGAAAAGCTTGAGCTTGATTCACTTCACAAATTCCCATAAATTCACCAGTAATATGTGGAAAACTTATTAACTAATAAAAATTATTAATATAAACTTACTTGACGAAGGAAGGTAATGGGTTTTTGTCCCATAGCATGGCAATCACCAATATTAGCACGAATAACATAATCGAATGGTTTTTTGACACCCTGTAAGTAAAAAACGTAAATAATTAGACAATTAATTAAATGACATTTATATAAAGGAAAAAGCAGTAATCATATACATTTATATTTATCACATTATCCTGGCTCTTAATAAAACATAAATATAGAAAGTAAAGATAATATGGTTCATAAAATTACTAAAATAATTAGACATAATATGTTCGCCTTTCCCACATGTACATATACATACGTACATATGTAATTACATTTTATGTACGTACATATTTTACTAATAGCTTTGGTAGAGAAATTAAGAAATTAAACTCTGAAATCTGTTATATTAAATATAATAAATTATACACAACAATTAATAAATAATGAAACAAAACTTTCTTAATACAAAAACAATTATCTGAGAATAAAACCACAAAAATTACTAATTTCCACATGAAAACCTAGTCATATTACACTAATTATTGATAATTAAACGATAGGCTAACTAATGAAATATATGAGAAATATAATACATATTATAAAGTAATAAACATTACAACATCAATAAAAAAAATAAGTTTAAAATTTTAAAAACAAATAACATTGAAATAACCTTTTACGATATAACAACCGCATTACAAAATAATATTACAATTTCAAGAAAAGCAAAAGTTTCAAATGGAAATTATAATAAAACGTAAATATTGTAAATCACACATCAATCCAGTAAGTCGATGATGACGTTGTTAAAGCAAACAATTTAAATAATAGTAAATAATAAATAACAACAAATCCACTTGATGGCACTTTAAGAATGTAATTTAATTCATCCGTTTAATAACTTTTTATAGAACGCATATCAATGGTTAATTTATTATTTGTTTGAATAAGTGAGAGTATTATTTTACGTTTAAATATTGATATGTAGACGGAGTATTTTTATATAAAGAGATTTTTCTTGTAAATATTTAATTGTAAATTATATATTTTTTCATTCAAATAAATCGAATACATCTTCAAGTAGCGTCAAGGAGAGATTCTATTCCTTTAGGAAAGCTTAAGCTAGCGATAGTTTATTCCTATTGCGAGAGTATATTCCTTCAGGAAAGCTTGAGCTAGCGAGAGTCTATTCCAATAAGAAAGATTGAACCAACGAGAGTCTATCCCAATCGGAAAGCTTGAATTAGCAAGAGTCTATTCCTATATGAAAACTTGGGTTAGCGAGAGTCTATTCCAATAGGAAAGCTTGTGTTAGCGAGAGTCTATTCCTATAGGAAAGCATCAGCTGTCGAGGGCCTATTCTAGGCATGGAATAGTACTTTAGTACTATTCCTAGCCTATAGTCTAGTCTATAGTCTAACTTATTGTCTACTCTATAGTTCAGTTTATAGCCTCTTCTAACTTATAGTCAGTCTATAGTCTAGTCTATAGTCTAGTCTAGTCTATAGTCTAGTCTATAGTCTAGTCTATAGTCTAGTCTATAGTCTAGTCTATAGTCTAGTCTATAGTCTAGTCTATAGTCAGTCTATAGTCTAGTCTATAGTCTAGTCTATAGTCTAGTCTATAGTCTAGTCTATAGTCTAGTCTATAGTCTAGTCTAGTCTAGTCTATAGTCTAGTCTATAGTCTAGTCTATAGTCTAGTCTATAGTAGTCTATAGTCTAGTCTATAGTCTAGTCTATAGTCTAGTCTATAGTCTAGTCTATAGTCTAGTCTATAGTCTAGTCTATAGTCTAGTCTATAGTCTAGTCTATAGTCTAGACTATAGTCTAGTCTATAGTCTAGTCTATAGTCTAGTCTATAGTCTAGTCTATAGTCTAGTCTATAGTCTAGACTATAGTCTAGTCTATAGTCTAGTCTATAGTCTAGTCTATAGTCTAGTCTATAGTCTAGTCTATAGTCTAGTCTATAGTCTAGTCTATAGTCTAGTCTATAGTCTAGTCTATAGTCTAGTCTATAGTCTAGTCTATAGTCTAGTCTATAGTCTAGTCTATAGTCTAGTCTATATAGTCTATAGTCTAGTCTATAGTCTAGTCTATAGTCTAGTCTATAGTCTAGTCTATAGTCTAGTCTATAGTCTAGTCTATAGTCTAGTCTATAGTCTAGTCTATAGTCTAGTCTATAGTCTAGTCTATAGTCTAGTCTAGTCTATAGTCTAGTCTATAGGCTAGTCTATAGCCTAGTCTATAGTATAGTCTATAGTCTAGTCTATAGTCTAGTCTATAGTCTAGTCTATAGTCTAGTCTATAGTCTAGTCTATAGTCTAGTCTATAGTCAGTCTATAGTCTAGTCTATAGTCTAGTCTATAGTCTAGTCTAGTCTATAGTCTAGTCTATAGTCTAGTCTATAGTTTAGTCTATAGTCTAGTCTATAATCTAGTCTATAGTCTAGTCTATAGTCTAGTCTATAGTCTAGTCTATAGTCTAGTCTATAGTCTAGAGTATAGTCTAGTCTATAGTCTAGTCTATAGTCTAGTCTGTAGTCTAGTCTATAGTCTAGTCTATAGTCTAGTCTGTAGTCTAGTCTGTAGTCTAGTCTATAGTCTAGTCTAGTCTAGTCTATAGTCTAGTCTATATTCTAGTCTATAGTCTAGTCTATAGTCTAGTATATAGTCTAGTCTATAGTCTAGTCTATAGTCTAGTCTACATTCTAGTCAATAGTCTAGTCTAGTCTATAGTCTAGTCTAGTCTATAGTCTAGTCTATAGTCTAGTCTATAGTCTAGTCTATAGTCTAGTCTATAGTCTAGTCTATAGTCTAGTCTAAAGTCTAGTCTATATTCTAGTCTATAGTCTAGCCTATAGTCTAGTCTATAGTCTAGTCTAGTCTAGTCTATAGTCTAGTCTATATAGTCTATAGTCTAGTCTATAGTCTAGTCTATAGTCTAGTCTATAGTCTAGTCTAGTCTATAGTCTAGTCTATAGTCTAGTCTATAGTCTAGTCTATAGTCTAGTCTATAGTCTAGTCTATAGTCTAGTCTATAGTCTAGTCTATAGTCTAGTCTATAGTCTAGTCTAGTCTATAGTCTAGTCTATAGTCTAGTCTATAGTCTAGTCTAGTCTATAGTCTAGTCTAGTCTATAGTCTAGTCTATAGTCTAGTCTATAGTCTAGTCTATAGTCTAGTCTATTGTCTAGTCTATTGTCTAGTTTATTCCTACAGGAAAGATTAAGCTATAGCAATGCTTGCCCTAGCCGTCTATTCCTATCGACTATTATTTTAGATTTTAATTATTTTGTAAAATTTGTGTTTGAAAATGCATTTTTATAAATAAGAAATTCCACTTCCACAAAATTTCATATAAAAAACAGCGTTTTTGAATCAATATTTTCACATTTTATTTAGGTTGGTGGGTGGTATTTTACTTTAAACACGTAGCCAATTGGAAAACATGCATTAGATGTAATGAATAATTGTATTATATTTATAACTTAATTAAAAGCAAGATTTGTTTTACCCTATTGCATCTAATAAAAAATTTTTAATATTTCGAATTGAAATGCAAATTAAATGCAAGAATTTTGTTTATAATTTTTTTGTGTTGAGTTTAAATTATAAAAATATATAAATAACTTTTAGCAAATTTGAAGGTTCAAATTGAAACTATAATAAAATAGTCTATCTATGTATATTCCAAATCACAGACGGAAGGAAATATTTTTTGGTTATTAATATTTTTATATTTTAAAAATCAAAAAATCTACAAATTTTTTCTAATAGGTCAAACATTTCCATTTAGGGTTAAACTTAAACATTATTCAGTTTGTACCAGTTTTTCTAAATTAATATTTATAATTTGTATTTTTTTGTTGTTTCTATTTTAAATATCAGTTGTAGTTATCAGTTGTTGTTGATAATTTAATCAAGTGTTGGTGCTATGTTGTTATTTTTATCAAAAAAAAGTACTACTTATTGTTTTCATTATTGTTTACTACCTATAATTTAGAGGAATGTTTATAGATAGTTATAGTTACTAAGTGAGGTTCTTATCGTTGTTATAGATCTACATATATAAGAAAGGAACAAACTTCAAATCGTATAATTTTCAAAAATAATTTCAATACTTGTCCAATAATGATTTATTATTGAATTTTATGTTTAATTTAGCTTTTGATTTGATTTCTAAACTAAAACTATAATTTGACAGCAAAAATGATTAGTCGTTTTTAATTAGATATAAAAAGAATAGTTGAATAAATGGATAACAATGTAATTTGAAGAAATTTTTAAATCCTTTTTGAAATTATATGTTTTTGATTGTCAAACAATCTCAATCATTTGACATCATTATCTCATATTGAAAAATATGTTTTTTTCATATTGTAAAACATAATGATACTGTTTAAAACAAATACTATTTTAGCTATTATATAAATGACAACTTAACAACTTGAACCATAGTAAAACTAATAAAAACAAGTAAGAAAGTATAGTCGGGCGTGGCCGACCATATGATACCCTACACCAGTTATGAATATTAAATGTGATTTATTTTTCATAATAAAGCATTTATCTTCAATATTCCCTTGTTCCGATACATTTAAGCAATTTATGGATGAAAAACTAATTTTCTGAAAGAGGCTTTATATGGGGGCTAGGGGCAAATATGGACCAAGCCCGATAAAATTTTGTGAATATATTTATATTGACATAATATTTTATTGTGCTGAATTTCATCGCGATATTTGTGTTTATAAGCTAATTTGGGACATTCACGTAATTTTCTGAAGGGGACTTTGTATGGGAGCTAGGGTCAAATGTGGCCCGATCTTTATGAAATTTGGCAGGGTCATCAAGACTTCTATAAAACTTAGTTGTGCCGTATTTTATCGATATATCTATATATTTAACATAATTATGAGCTCAGAAGCCCTTTTCGGGGGGTTCTGTTGTATGGGGGCTAAGTGAAATAATGGACCGATTTTAACCATTTTCAATAGGCTTCGTCCTTAGGTCAAATAAAACGTGCGTGCCAAATTTCATCCAATTATCTTGAAAATTGCGACCTGTACCTTGCGCACAAGGTTTACATGGACAGCCAGCCAGCCAGCC